CAACGGAAAACACTGAAAGGGAACAAGTGATGAAGAGATACGCGCATTCTATGCAAAATGTGAGAAAAATAATGTACTTGTGAACGTGGTATTGAAACACCGTGTGGAACGAGAGATGATAACGATATTGATTAATATAAATATCACGTAAAATAATTTTTAATGGAATAACTTAAATAAACCACACAAACATTTACTTTCCCATTCGGAATATTTTGCACTTGACTTGTGCTTTCACTTTTACTTCCACCCTCTGTCTCTTTCCTTATTTTCTTTTTCCTTAGGTATGGATGATTCTGGTCCGTTCGTTTATTTTCAATTTTCGCCTATCTGTTTCATTTCATTTGACTGTACCAAAAGTGTTTAAGGCATCTCGTTCGTTTGGTCGGTCGGTCGTGTGCGTGTTGTTCACGCCATCTTCTCTCAGTATCATCCCACCGACCATGACTAAAAGGCATTACAAACAGTTACAAATAATTCCGTGAAATGAAAGATGAGAAACAAAGAATGAGAGGTACTGACTACAATGGCGGTAGAAAAGAAAAATAACGTTAATAACTTGCGATTGCTAAGCTATTATAGATGCTGTTGCCGCTGTTGCTGCTTCACGCCGAAAGCTGTAGGCTTCCACACAGCTACTCAAATTCTGATACCGATTTGCAATGAAATGAAACGAAACGTAACATTTTTCACACTCAGGGCTCGATTTCTATATGCCCACATTCTCCTTGCCATCGTCGTCGAAACTCGTTTGTATCGTTATTTTCGTTGTTTCTCGTTTTCTGCTTAAAAGCCAATATATTTTGCAGTATTTTGTATTTATCGTTTTCGACTTTTTCTCGTGCAAGAAATACATTTAGTTGGTATATAAAACGTTGAATTGCACAGAGTTCGGCTGCCCATATATACTTGTGGCCTATACATATATGTATATCTTTTATACAGTTAGGCAGAGATGTATCGATGCTTATGTTATATGAATGATGTGTCGCTTCGCCACCATAAAGTATTTACTGTTCCATTCCGCATTTCCGCATGACTATGTGTGCTTATAAGTTCGAGGTGGTATTTGTCTTTGTCGAATTATTTTTCAATGCAAAGTCATTTTTATCGCCAGAAAAAGCACCATACAGATAATAATAATTCAATGTGAATGAATTGCCGGAAAGCACGTTGACAAAAAGTGCAGTATTCGGCTGGTTCGAGTGAAGAGCAAGTGAGAGAGACAATCGTCCGACCGAAGAAAAATTGATTGGAATTAGTTTGGTCTCAATTTGAGCGAGGAAAGTCACTTTAATTTTCGGTGATTTATTTACTAAAATAGCCAATTTCGTTGACTGTAGATGTGTCGAGGGAAGCCAGAAGAAACACAAGTTAAATAGCCAGCACTTGCGAATACTATATCATTTTTTTTATTCGAACGAATACATACAGTTGGGCATCTATTAAGAGTCCTGAGCAGCATTAGGCTCTATCTCCAGGTGATTTGCAGCAAAGATATATTGTAATTCGGTTACTTGCAACCAATTCTGTTACAAATGAGTTATATATATAGTAATAATAAACTTCAAAGTTATTATTAGGCAATGGGACCTTACAGTCAATGCAAATACATTGCTGTCAGCGCATAGACTTTCTTCTAGAACTTTCCAAATAAAGCATGAGAATGAAGCGTGGCGCCACTGTCTTTTCCAAACACATCATTACTTCAAGGGAATACACAAGCGTGCAAAAGTGTGGCAATAGTTGACGCCTCTGAGAATCTCATACGCAACCTACTTCTCCAATAAATCTAGATTGTTATTCGGTTACGTGCAACTATTTGGAACCATTTCTGTTGTAAATGAGTTGTATATCTGTTGCAGTTGACTTCATTTTAAGAAGTTATAGTTTGGTATAGATGATGGTTAGTGTTATGTTCTAATGATGTTACTATAACTGATCAAAAATTGAAGCGACAAATTGATCAATAGAAACTAAATGGTTGTTATATAGCTGTTATAAATACTGAAATGTAACAAAATGATGGAGCCCAATGCTGCTCGGGGTACGCATTTATAGTCATTCATTCCATCATACATATGCTTACACAATCGCCACCGCCATCCGTCGGTACACAACATCGGATTGACTTGGCACAGCTTAACTCAACTTGAAAATGGTAAAGTAAGAGAATAAACAAATATGAAGATATAAATAAACGTTCGAGGATACAGATAAGTATGCGAAAGAGGTGTTTACGATAGGCGTTACATATTCGCAATCATTATCCCTGATCAAGTGTATGTGCTGTGGTATATGTGTTTACATGCCTGTATTAAACCATTGAAGAATTAAAAAACGAAATAAGACCTGGAGAAAATTGAAAGCCAAGATTATCTCGGCAAACTCGACACTAGGATTACAATTGATTTGGTTTCGAATTCAATTTATTCTTTCTCCCTCACCCAAGAAAAAGATTAAAAAGGGAGAGAGAAATGAGTATAGACTTAACATTCACACTTTTTCATGCGTATTTTTTTTTCCAGTTTCGTTCAAAATAAATTGGAATGGTTACATCGGCCATCGATTAACCCATTCAGTCAATGCCATAAATACCGTACACGAATCTCATTTTGCATCAATTTGCATGACGCAATGATAATGAAGTAAATCGCCAACCAATTAGCACGTACCAAATTTCGATCGGAATACCAATCGATATGAACAGAAATGGTTTCATGGGATTATCCCATTTTTTTTTCACGAAAATTCTGTACCGTACAAAAGATGATGCCGAGTGTCGGATGATACCATTGTTTGGAGTAAATTGTCAATATGAAATTTGAATCCCGAAAGAGAGGTAGAAAAAACAGATATTTCAGATATCTAAAGATGAAGGGGAAAAGGGGAAAAGTTAGCTGACACATGGGTCAGAATAAATACAATGTGCGCCTTGTATCATAGGCTTCGTCTAGACTTGTCATGTTCTGAAATGGTAAGAAATCAATCAAATGTACAGATGTATGCCACGTGTCAAAAACCAAAATACACCTTTTGGTGTCATTTCGCTGATCCAATTTGAATTGGTTTCGTGTGTTGAATTGTTTTTTATTACTTTTCCGCAAACTTTGTTTGTTAGGTAAAGTATTGGTTTTACTAGCCAAAATTTCATGACATCTCCTCTTTCGGACCACTATAACGTCACGCCAAACTTCAAAAAGCACATATCTGTACACTAGGCAATGTAGATGGGATGAAATCCTATCGATCAAGACCGATCTGCCTCCAAAAACATGTTGTTTACTATGAAAAATGTGCAAAATTGCGATGTGCGTATGGCGTCGTTCGCGTCCGCGTCCGAGCTTTTTGTCCGCCGATTATCTCAAAAAGTTGACATGATAATTGAGATCTGTAAGAGCCAAAAGTTTTGGCATGTCAAGACAAAGCTTCGGATTGATTTTGAGCCATATCCGATATGACCTTGGGGTACCTCTCCTAAGAAAAACCCTCAAAAATGGTACATTTGTACGGGAAGTACCCGAAAAAAGCATTTTTCAGGGTTTCGATCAAGGCAAACTGCCATTTTTTTGCAAAAATAATGGGAGCCTTCAAACAACCGAACACCTACTTGCCCATAAATTTGGTCCGAAATCAACATTTCTTGAAATTTTTGAAATTTAGTTCGAAAATGACACTTTTGTATGGAAAATGGTCGAAATAGTTATATTTTAAGGTCAAAAATGCTATGAAAAAAGGGTCCATTGAAATTTTGGTTAAACATTAAGCGGGAGGTAAACTAAATTGCTGCGGAGCGGAAAAGTTTGGATTACGTATGTAATTCGTTTTATTCTCTTTGTTTTTGCATCATTAGTAGTTGTAGGACTTACATAACACATGCTTTAGATGATCTGATTTGCTACACAATGGATCATATGTAAATACGTAAATATGTAGTGGATGATGACGATGAGGGGGTTGCTTGCAAGCTAATTTCGCATTCAGTAAATATTTTGTTGGAAAAATTAATATGAACAACTAAACTTCGATTTAAGGTTGATTGTAAAAAAAGCTATCCTTTCCAATTCCAATTCCAATTCCAATTTAATTGGTCTGATTATTTTTCTAAAATTACAAACAATACGCCGCTCAAAAATTATTCCCAATTTTACGGCGAATCAAATAATTAGGGTTTTATGTTTGCCATTTCGATTCATATTAGTAATGGTTGAGCATGCAAGAAGTCGTGACAAATTTTATTGAACAATAAATCACGGCTCCACCATATAGAAAATGTGACTAAATTTTAATGGAAAATCACATGCTAATAAATACACATCAATGCCAAATTCGAAAGCTATCCAAAATCGTGAATAACGATACACACATATATAAATATGTATTATTTATAAATAGCTGATTTGATGATAGTGTGGCTTGCGATTGGTACACATGTTTTAATGATTCGTTCAATTTGTTATTTGTTCGATCCCAATTATTGGGTGTGTTTTTTCTCCACCGCAATCACAATGGAAGCGCTCTTGAAGCGATTATTAATTAATAATGTATTTAAGCACTTTATGAATTGATCCAAATGAACGGGATCAAAATAATAATGTATTTCATATGTTTTCTCTCCACGTCTATTGAAATTTTTGGACATAAACAAGCAATCAAAGCATACTCAAAACATAAATTCTATCCGGAACAGACAGACTTCAATAGATATGGTAGATACTACTTGGTTGAAAAGTTTTTGGCCTGACAAATCACCATGTCTATGATATTTTTGGAAAGCAACATCTTCAACTAGAAATGTGTCAAGATTCGAATTGGCTCAAATTTTAACATTATTTTAGTTAAAGATAGTGCGTTCCAAAGTTAAAGTAGATATTATGGTGAGTTGTATGTCAGACCAAAAACTTTTTAGCCGAGGATGTATTTGTTGTTGAAATGTTAAAATGACAATAAAATGCAATTCACAAGCACAAAAAGAAATAATTGTATGGCTTTAGACTCACTTGTTGATGTGGTGGACCCGGATCGTGCTGCATAGCTGCTCCTCTGCGGGCAAATGTCATCGATATTAAAGTCTTGCGATTTATTGATAACATTGATGTCATACGTAACCGATGGCTTGCGAATACGACCGCTGCCCATGTTTCCAGTAGCACCACTATTATTTTTATCACATTTTGGCCTTGAATTGATTAACATTAAATCGTTTTTGATAAAATGTTGCTCGGCCGCATTACCATTATTAAGTGTCGACGAGCTGGCGGAGCGTACGTTTACACTTGCTATATCTGGCACTTTTAAATCTTGCACCACCATAAATGTATCAGAATCAGTTCTCAGGCTAACTAGTTGCTCTAACGGTGAATTGTTTACACCAACCATTGTTTCCATTGACATGCTGGTAGTGTCCGCACTTAGCATATGCGGACTCAAATGATGCTGTGAATACGAAAAATAATTCTGCGGCGAATGAGATGGCGGTTGCTCTTTGTTCATCGTTTTTGGACTGAGCAATTGTTTTGGCGTGACTGGCGGCGATGTGATTACTAAATTATTCACCAAAACGTGACCCGTTTGTAAACTGACATCCGCATTTATATTGAACAATAGATTCTCTTCGTACAGTTCACTTCGATTCGCTGTGACTTTTTGATCGGCAACAACACTCAAACTACTCACCCTGGAGACATTTTCAAGCAAAATTTCAGCTTTTGCATTTGACTTTGCGCTGTCGTCCATTGCAAGCGGAATTTTCTCCAAACTGTCACTGGCGGTGATTGCATTTTGGTTGGGTATCGATGCGGACGCTATTGCAATTGCATTCGGCGAAAAATGATCTAAAATACTATCTCGATAGTCGAATTCCTTAGCGTTAACAACAATTTTGTAATTAAACTTGTTGGTCGTCGATTGCCTATCACACATATTCTTATTATTTTTTTCGCATTGGAACAATTTGACGAACATGTCGAAGGCGTCGTACGATTGATGGAACCGCTGTGTCGACTGGCGTTGATAATTCGATTTTGGATGATGTTTCTGTTCGGCGTTGTGTGCTGACGTTTCGTTGCCTTCGCTCCGAACGCGTTGTATGGATTTTGATTGAGTTGCTGGGTCAATTTTCGTACTGAGGTAACATCCATTCAGGGATTGAGATAAGTGATTATTAAGACCTTTTTGAGCATATTTTTTATTTTGAGCCGGATCTTGTTGTAAATTAGCAGCGATTAGATCTGAACTGGTTGCCATCATCGGATCGGTGGTGGTGACATTGGCCGACATTGCTGTTGGTGTTATCATTGTTGTTGCTAGTGATAAAACAGTGGCCGATGTTGGATGATCCAACGAATTGTATTTGTTGGCCTTGGGAAATTTTCCATTGAGAATTGTCTTGAAAGGAATTTTCGATTTCAATATGAATTTTTTCGATTTATTGCCAAAATTCCCGTCGAAGCTCTTTTGCTCGCAAATTAGTGAATCACTAATCGCTGCCATTTTCTTACTCTTAATTTTCTTCTCGCAGGCGGTAACACTAACGCCGCAATCACAGTCGATGTTATTCTTCAATGTTAGAAAATCGGGATCACTGCATGCTTGTAGTTGAAGATTTCGGCTTGCTCGTTCAGCTGCTTTGTTCGAAGCCAAAGGAAAGCCGGCGATAACTGGCGATGTGGACGATGATAAGCCACCGTTTTGTTTTTTGAAATATTGATAATTATCTTCGATAAAACGTGCAAGGTCTTCGTTATCACTTTCGATGGTGAGCGTATCAATGACATTTGGTTTTTTGTTGTTGTTGTTGCGACGCGTATGAAAACATTCCAAGGGCTTGTTCAAGAAATTTGTCTTCGAAATGAGCGGTTGAAAAAAGCTTTCGGATTTATTTTTACCACTGCTGCTCTTCAAATAAAAGTTTTCCAATGCAATCATCGACGGGGCACTGTCTGTATGCACAACACGATCGTGTGGCTGTAATTGTTGTTGTTCCAAGTCCCGTAAATCGATGCTACTTCGACTCAATCGACGTTGCGGTGGCGACGGTACCCGCAAAATGTCTGCATCACCATCATCCGCTGCCATATTATCAACCAGTTGAACCTAATCCAAAGTTAATCGTGTACCATATGAAATGAGAATTCTTTTTAACGTGAACATAAAATACTAATCCTTCAATTCATTTTCCTATACAAATTCCATTCATCATTGCAAGTATTATAGACTGGTCCAAAAGAAATTTTTCCGAGATTTTCAAAAGTACCGATCGGTTTTCGAAAATAGGCCTAAAAAAATAAGTTTGGCATCAAAAACTCGAAAAACGTAGAAATGAAACCACTTTGCAAAGAGGTGTCCATTTTTTTCATTCCACTCGTTTCGGAAGCCATTTTAGATCGCAACATTTCGACCAAAATAATTTTTCCAACCAATTCTTAGCAAAAACCAATGATGAGGTTTTGTTTGACTTGTCAATATCTATAACTTTTACTAAGACATCAGTCCTTGAAAAGACATTCTGGACCAGTTACAGAAAAGGTAGAAATCGTTTGCTATTATCTGTCAAACCGAAGCTCATGTTCGTGATTTGCTCATTTTGTCCTGGAATTCGTCTTTTATGTCTGGGTCAATTGTCGCCAAATTCCATCCAAACCGCAATCTAACAAGTACCAAAATGTTTGTACAGGTTCTGGCTACACGAAACAAGTCGAAAATTGAACAAAAGTCCACCGCCTGGGTGACTTATCAAATGTAAAAAATGCCAAAAATTTGCCATTTTTCTGTAATTTTACACTGTAACTGACCCAGAATGTCTTTTCAAGGGCTGATGTCTTGGTAAAAGTTATAAATATTGACGAGTCAAACAAAACCTCATCATTGGTTTTTGCTAAGAATTGGTTGGAAAAATTATTTTGGTCGAAATGTTGCGATCTAAAATGGCTTCCGAAACGAGTGGAATGAAAAAAATAAACACCTCTTTGCAAAGTGGTTTCATTTCTAAGTTTTTCGAGTTTTTGATGCCAAACTTATTTTCTTCAGGCCTACTTTCGAAAACCGATCGGCCCTTTTGAATATCTCGGAAAAAAAATTTTTGGACCAGTCTAAAGTATTATTATTATCAATACTAGTATTACTATGGCCATTATTTTACTTTTTCGTATTAAACAACATAAGAGTTTTCTATCAATTCAATTCTATGGTCGGTTGCGGTGCTCAATGTTACCCCGAAAACGATATACTTTCGAACAAAATGATAAATTTGACAGCAAAGTAATCTGAAAATTGGATTACCTCAATATTACTGAACGAATGCTGACTGCTCTCCTCCTTTAAATCCTTAAGCTTCAAATTTAGGTCACAGTCACTGGGATGATTATTATAGTTAATGTGATGATATTGGTTAAAATTATGTGTATTATGACCCATTTGAACGCTATTCAAAAGGATATTCGAACTCGTTCGACTCAGTGCTTTTCGCTGACGTACCGCTTCCCTGTAAAACGTCCGCATATGGTTTTAAAATTTTGATGATATCAATATCGATGGACGACGTCAACAATGTATGCATACAGCGAACAAACGGCAGGCAGGAAGGCAGGAAGGAAGCAGGGCGAAAGAAAAATGGATATACAATATTATGTCAAAAAGATGAAGAAAGAATTAAATCTAAAGAAGCACAAAAGAAGCTATATGTATATTCTGTGATATAGAAATGTATAATCTAATTTAATCGTACTGATTCAAGCAATAAAATTACGATTTGATTGAATTTCATATTCGTTCTTATTCTGTGTTCCCGTTCATACTTCCGAAAAGCTTTCTCTGTGTACTGTGCAATCTGCTGGATGAATTCCCCAAGAAAAAAGCGCACGCACACACTCACAAGCGCTCATATAACAGTGTACAATATACACTAGTATATCTATACTATATATGGTTTGCGTCTATCATACGTGCAAGTTGGTTTTTCAGTTCGATGTTTCAATAATCTGGAGTTTTCATGATTTTCTTTTTCCGTTATTTGTCTATTTCACTCCCTCGCGCGAGGTTTCTTGTCTACATGCGTGTGGAGTGACTGGATGAATCTACATATGCATTGGTGAGAGGTAAGAGGATGTAAATTTGCTCAACTTCGTATGAATAAGTTTCATTGCAATCCATAATAGTAAAAAGAATGTATGTTCATTTTTGGCGGGTCATCAAGTTTTTTTTTACGTTTTTCGCGGTGTCTCCCATAACTTTGCTGCAGACAGATCTCTACTCTTTTATCAGTTCCCCGAAAGCCGTAGAAACCGTCAACTGCCCGAAGCACATCAGTATACTGTCTTTTAACGCATACAGGATTAACAGAAAACATACATTCTTTTACGTTCCTCGAACAAATATATAATTCAAGATATTATGTTAAATGGTGTTGATGAATAATTAACACGCTCTGCATAGATACCAAGTCATCACATTAACGAATCTACTCATTTCAGTCCAAATTACTGACGCTATTGATTGCCATGAGAAATCACAACTATCATGATAAAACGGCTGTGATAGTGTGGCAGCAGTTAATGTAGTTTTATTGGGATTGGGTTGAACAATGACCGAGGGGCAAACCACTCAAAAGTAATACTGTGTATTAGTATTACTTTAATGCTCAAGACAAGTGCTGTTTTTTTGCTCAGGATAAATTTTCGAAATTTTCCCAATGGGAGCAAAAGGATTTTTGGTCGGTATGGCTCGCTAGGCCGCACCAAATTAGGCCATTCGCCACCATTTATCCGGGTCGATAGTCCCCATAGGTAGGAAAAATTGGAACTCTTCTTCAGAGTTCTTCTTCTCCGAAGCCGCACCGACCAAAAATCCTTTTGCTTCCATTGGGAAAATTTCGAAAATTTATCCGCGGATAAATCTTCCACATACGAGAGTCAATTTTTCCTACCTATGGGGACTATCGACCCGGATAAATGGTGGCGAATGGCCTAATTTGGTGCGGCCTAGCGAGCCATACCGACCAAAAATCCTTTTGCTCCCATTGGGAAAATTTCGAAAATTTATCCTGAGCAAAAAAACAGCACTTGTCTTGAGCATTAGTAATACTAATGTAAATATTACCTTGTATTACTTTAGTATTACTTTTTTCAAACAATAGTATTATTTTTAAAAGGAGTATTACTTTATCAAAAGTAATACCACTTTTACCTAGTATTACTTCGTATTACTTCGCAGGTATTATGTATTACTTTTGAGTGGATTGCCCCTTGACAATGACACTGTGTGTCTAATTGAGTAATAATTTATACGGTAATCTTTGTTCCCAAAGCCAAACAACCCTGCAGTTATTCCTTTAAAACAGAATGTGTCCGACATGTAATTCATTTATGTGCGTCATTCATGTGAGAAGCATCGAGTATAAGATTTGATAGGAAATTTCCAGAGCCCAGATGAACACTGAGTCGATTAAATTTCTCGCCGACTTTATCAGCCGATTGTCAATGCAATGCAGATCGAATGTTTTGTGAACGTGGTGCTGCATAACACGTATCTAAATTTAAAATTGTGCTATTAACTGTTAAATGGAAAATAGCAAAGGAAAGTGCCACTTTGAATCCGTTACGATGTTCAACCAAAACAAAAAGCGATATCCATGACATATTAACGTTGTCAGGAGAAGAAGCATGGAAAACAAACACCTTTAATAGCAGCTTACAATATGTACTTTTCGATAAAGATAACAATTCATTCTTTTTTTCATGTAGCAGTATTCTAGTGTGGCACTGTGCTTAGCATATGCATACGATATGGGGATTGGTTGGTGCGAAGAGAAAACGGTGTGGAAAAAAAAAAGCTTTTCGAAACATTCGCTACCATTACATATTATCACACGGCATGTACGCTGCACAAAATACATATTTTATGTATGCTGAAGTATGTTTGATAGTCAGTTCTCGCACACACATGTTCATTGCCAACCTCAAAACGCATGATACGAGTACTCCACGCCAATAAGCAGAGCATGGGCAAAATAATAATAAGACATATTGCGCGAAAGAGGAAGAGAGTGCAAATGGGAGAAGCGCAAGTCTTCGGAAATGAAAATGTTTATCGGTATAAATTTATTCTTGAAATAATTGTTTGTGTTTCGTGTTCTCCAAAAGCGTTTGAATGAAATGTGTGCCAATGAACATTAAATGAGCACACCGAATGGAATTGCATGGATTGAAACGGATTGAAGCATTCACGGTGTGGTTCCATGAATTTAGCAGCCGCTAAACAAGTGGTTCGCATTTGAACGAAAAATGCTGGTTGTCTGTTCACTGTCCCAAGCAGCTCTCTCTCTCTCTTTTTCTTCCTTTCTCTCTCCCGCTCTCTATCTCTTTCTCTCTCCATTTCTTCACTTTGCTCATCCCTCGACACTGTTTATCGGTATGCAGTTCCGGAACGAATCATGATAACCAATCATGTATGTATCCCATCCAGTCGAGTTATCACTTAGCTAACAATCTCGTCATGAAGTCATGAAATCGACGGACGACGAAGCAAACGATGACCAATTCAAATGAATGATATTTGAACCCGTGAGCATAAAAACGACTTATTAAACAATCGCCGAACAAAACGATACAAAAAAAAAACTACCGAACAAAACGTACCACAGCGGTAATGTGTAGCACAGCAGAGTTTCGTTTTGAACAGTACCGTCCTGCTGTGTTACGTTTTTAACGTGTGTTTTGTTTGGTAGTTTTTCCTTGTATCGTTTTGTTCGGCGATTGTTTAATAAGACGTTTTTATGCTCACGGGTTCATTTGTGTGTTTATTGACTGGCTTCAAGCGCAGCGTAGCTGATATACATAAATTATTTCATGAAGACGAAAGTATTTTTGGTTACTCAGCAACAAGATCTGAGAAACCAAAGAACCGCACTCGAGTCAAACAACTCGAGCTGATGACGCTACCATAAAGCAGAGAAAATAGCAACAATCGGCGGAAAGAGAGTGAGAATGTGTGAGAGAGGGAGGGGGAAAGACTGAGGGAAAGAATGTATTTTGATTGAATGGGAAATATCCGGCAGAGTTAACTAAATAGATTCGAAGCCATAGATTGGCCAAGAAATTTGATGAGAAATGGCGCATCTCTTATTACACGAATGATATCATAAAGTGAAATGTTTAGCAAATATTTTTAACACAACAAATTTGTAAGTGTGTCGTTGGCTACACCAAAACTGAGTGCGATATTTAGTGCGTGGATTGTGTGCGTGTGTCTGTGCCATTTACGGACGATAGAATGAATAAACGGGCGCGTCAAATACACTTAGCGTTGTTGTGGTCGATAGTTAAGCCCTTACCGTACTGGCACACTTCTACCATTGACGTTACATTTCTGTTTTGTCTTCTTCTCGCACTACGTAGAAAAATGACTTAAAGACAGATTTCTCTGTCCATGGTTTACCGAAAAATGTTTGCTAATAAAATATTTATTCTCGTTATTGAAGTTAAGTGTATGTAGATCGAACAATTAATGTCTGTCTTTTTATGTGTAGCACGTTCGTTCATGTTTGTTATTTGGCGATTCGTTTTTTTTCCTTCTTCCTTCTTTTTCTTTTCATTCGCAATTCCAGTTATAATATGTTGTGCCTTCTTTTTTCCTGCCTCTTTCTACACCTGGGAATGCATTTGATTTGACACAAAGATCAAACACAAACACATCCATTTTTTCAGTCGCCCTTTCTTTGCTTATCTGATCGTATCTGGTAATAAAGCTTTCCGAGCCAAGTGTTTTTATTGCCGTGCACATTATCGAATAAATAAATGAACGCGATTTGAACAAATAGCCAGAATGAACAAACATTCGCATGACTGTTTTGTTTGGCAATGTGTCTGATTTGTCTGCATTTTATATCGAGCAGCGGAAGCGTGTAATATCATTGACGTTAGCATTGGCGTGGCCATTGCTATATTCCTATTGCTTTAGATTTTGCTTTTGCTTTGCCATCCATCTAGATTGGCCGTCGTATTGTTTTGTGGCAATGATTATCGTAGACGGTTTCTTTACTATACAACACACGATACAATTATCAAAAATTAGATTTATCTCAATGTGAATTGGGAAAACACTGAATACTTCAAATGGGTCCATTTCGGGCATTTATAGCTGAAAAAGGTATGCCACATGAAGAATTGTGCTCACATAAGTGTGTGTATTTTTCTTCTTTCCATGCTTGTGTTTGCATTACTTTGTGTTTATGTGTGGTGTGCGTGAGTGAGCGAGAGACCTAGCAATTCTCTTCTGAGTATTGGGTGCACTTAATTGTATTTCGTGTTCGATAAGTTGGGCATAATTACTCGGCAAAAGTTTTTCTATTATTCCACTTGGTTTTTTGCTTTAATTTCCCAATCTACTACCAATCGACCGAACAACAACAGATGCATGAATGTGAATATGTGCGAATTAGTGCGTGCAAATGAAACAATGCCCAAGCTATTCTCTTTCTCACACCATCTCCCTTTTCTTTTAATTAATTACGGTCGATTTATAGTTATTAGCGTAATCCGGGCCGAACGAAAGAATGCCAATGTAAAACAAAGCGAAAAATCGAACGAACAAATTTGGCGTTTGTGAGAGCAGTGAGTTCCGTTTAGCTTTCCCTTTTTTTTTCGTTTTTGCTGCTTAATGGCATCGTTGATTGGATATTTCGTATAAACATTTAAATGCACAGAAGGAATCCAGACAAGAGTGGCATTGTTCTGTGTAATACTTTAGACAATTTTTGATGGCCGTCGAAATGGCTCATTCGAAATATTTGTTGATCATTCAGAAAGTGAAAAAGCGCCTTTATTCATTTATATCCCCAAGACAATGAAGTCGAATGTAAAAGTTAATGGGATTTTTCGTGATTTCAGCACTGAGTACGGAAATGTGGCCGGGTGGTTTCTTTTTCATTGTTTTATGCATTAAATCAACTGGAAGGTTGGCTCCGCATCAACCATCTCATCAGGTGTAAAAATAGAGATAATGGTCGAGAAATGGAGCACTTGTACGTCGAATAGAACGCCCGAAAAACATTTATGTCAAATAACAATCTGTTGGCTTTGATTGCTTCGCGCACATCAAGCACGTATCTTTTGAAACTTTTTTGATTCAATGTACCGATAGCATCTATAAAAGATATTGACTGACATTAACAATACTACTGTTTGACGTCGATTTGATCAAATTTCTATTTGCACAGCATATTAAAAGCAAATAAAATTTCAATTTCAATTTGATTTCTTTTTTATAATTAAATATAAACATTCATACGAATTATGTTTGTAACTGACACACCGACAGGGCACCGAAAAAAAAATCAATCAATAAACCATTTGTAAAAGTAAGTGTAAAATGTGTCGGTGTCCAATATATACGAATAAGCGTGTGAGTCCAAAACGTTAAATCGATTAGCTTGAATGAAATCTGTTTAAAAATCGAGGGTTTGATTGTGCACCGATCCGGCTACTATTGGAATAATCCTAAAATGAACACGGAACGGCAACGAAATATTACCTGTAAATGCGGCAATACATAGTGATCATCACTAAGCCCGGAATCCAAAAACTAACCGAACTTGAAATTATTGCATACGTTTTATTTGGAACGAATATACATTCGTCAGAATGTTCGCTTTGGTATTTTAACGATTCGGTAGTTGTGTACCAGCCCAGAAAAATTGGTGTGAATGAGATTAAAGCTGGCAGTAGCCATACATTTGCCAGCATAAAGAACACCGTGCGATTTGTCATATAAAGTGGATACTCCAGCGGCCGGACGATTGCATAGTAGCTGAAAGGAAAAGAAAATAGAATCGTTTGAGTGAACAAGGGAAACGAAAGGCAAAGATGCTAAACATTAAATAAAAAGACATACAAACTTGAGTAAACATTTCGGCCGAATGGATGATGGGAATCAAAAAAAAAACTATTTTCGAGCTACTATAATACCAATATAGTACAGTTTTATTTATTTTTCCGTATGTATCTAAACGATTCAATTGATTTCAACAAGGTAAACAAACGTGTTGTTCGTACAAGTTTTGAGTACATATTCAGTTAGTATGTAGTTTCTTTTTTGTTCGGATGTTGTTGTAATTATTTTGCTGGGCAAAAAAGGAACACACATTTTCGATTATATGTCGTGGAAAATGTGTTTTTGTTTCCATTTTATTTTACGAATTTCCTCTTATTCCGTTCGTTTGTGTTTGATGCATTTTCCATTTTTTTTCCCTTTGCTTTTAACCGATACATGATATAGAACCTAGTAACGTTTTCTCTATTTCAAATGTTAGATGCTATATTTTGTTTTTTTTTTTTCTCCGCAAATCTGGCCATGTTATGTGCTCGCGTAAATCAAACAGAATAGATGGATGAAAAAGGGAAAAAATTGGCGCGAATTGAGCAAACGAGGAGCACATGTATCTAAAAAATGATTGAAAATCAGTGGTCGTATTGAAATGGAACAAAATTGTTTTGAAGAGATTCTGTAAATTGTTGTACTCTCTCGTTCATATTTTTTCTCTCTATCTTCAGTTCTATGTGTGTGTATGTGTTCATTTTGCCAACGAACTACGCTTCAATGAATAATACCATCAGGTCAAAGATAAGAGCGACCAATACGAAAAAGAAAGAGATTAAAACGGGGAAAAAAACAAAAATGTAATCGAAAATGAAAATGGTTAATCATTTTGATGCGACGTACATGTAGGGAGGGAATGTATGAATCGAATATCGTAAAGTATTGGAATATGTGAATGATGTAATACTTACCGATCCACAGATATACAACATAGATGCAAAATTGATGCAGTCGAAAAGTACACATCGAGGCTATTATACACGTTACACATGAATGGGCCGAAAATCCATTTTCCGTGCAAATTCTGCAGTGCATTAAATGACATGGCGCAGAGAGCGACCAGCATGTCAGCCATTGCTAACGATACAACGAAATAATTGGTTATCACACGTAATTTACGATTTCGTTGGACCGAAATGATGACCAATGCATTTCCTAGCACAGCACCGATAATTATAGTGCCGAATATGATGCTTTTGATGCACATAATGGTTAATTCAACCCATCGATCCTCGGCCACGGCAGCGGTTGTGGTCGGAGACGTAACAAATAACGATTCGTTTGCATCGTTTGAAGATGACGAATAAGGCACTGAATCTGTAAATGCAACCAGCACAGGCATTTCGTCAACCATGAATGTGATCCTTTTTCTCTCCCTCTCTCTCTCTCTCTCTCTCTCTCCCCCTCTCTCTCGTTTCGTTCTTTCTTTTTTTTCACTGCTCACTGCTCACTGCTTTCTCTTTTGTAGTCACATAGTCTGGACGCTTTGATCTCTTAAATGCCCGATGCTAAATGGTGTACCTAACACAATTTACACATCTGGTGCCAATTATCAATTATCGCTAAAGGTTTGCTGCGATTGTATGTATCGGATAAAATGGAACGGTCGGCGGACAACTATTATGAAAAATGAACTGGCATACACGCACACACACCTAACCACCTCGACCTCTATCACACCGATTACGAAATTTTACAAATTAAATGTTCACTGTTGTATTTCGAGCGTCTATTCATTTTTGACATTAAACGTTAACACTTGCCGGACATGGACTTGTGAATTCCCATTATGGTTTTTGTTCACAGTGGCATAGAAACAGCACCTGCAAAAAGAGAAAGAGAAAATAGAGAGAAAAGAAAAATTTGTGAAAATTGTTAATTGTGTTCAATTATTATTAATCATAGCATAAAAAAAAAAACAAATGGTGCACATCACGCTGGAATAATTCGTCACTTCTACTTTACCGAACACAAACACAGAGTGCGAAAACTTTTGGCGATGTCAACTTTTTTTCTGTTTATTAACGGTATTCAATGGTCCAAAAAATTCATTTGAATGCCAGAGAAATGCAATTTTTGCACAAATCAAGAGCATCAGAAGTTGTTATTTGCGTTAAATAAATTACTTTATGTCAGTCACAATTTCACATGACTTCAGAACAAACAAACACACTGCTTCTGCCCAATGATACGATTTAAAAGCAAATCAGACGTTTTTTTTTCTTGTATGTATACATATAATCAATGGCTATTAACATAGGCCAATTAAGGCACGAAATAAAAACATTTAATTGGTCATGGAATGGTATTTTAGCTCAAGTTCACATCGATGAATGTGTTTAAAGTAGATACATTTGACAGGTATGTTGCATAGTCGTACACTGATGATATGATTTCACTGTAAACGAATCTGTAAGTGAGAAATGCAATAGACGTGCATCTTAGCGAATGGTCAAAAACGATTTTCCATCGAAGCTTAAAATGTCAATCACTTAATTGATAAAAATATTGAACTGGTACCGCGTTTTAACGCTCAAATGATTCAATATCATATTTCTCGCTATTCTATTTGGAAGTTTGTGTGCAGAACAAATTTCACAAAAACACTTGTACGCTGACAATATTAAACGTTGGCGGTTCGTGGAAGTCGATTCAAATCGAAGCGCATCGCGTACGATGTACAAGCAATTCTATTGACATTGTTGTTCGTAACGTAGCATAAGCATGAAATGTTCACGTAACCATCGATGGCATATCGGGAATGTGGTCTTGCTGATGAATGTTTGGTAATTCGACGATATTGTTCTTACCATAAAATATGTATCGACAGATTCAGATAGAGAAAGATGAGCAGCACGTAATCATTATGCGCATAAAAGTCTTGTGGGTGCGCCATCAACAAGAACAAAAATAAAATCCAATGGAAACGACAAAACTCATAATAAGCGTAACAAACTAGCTGCAGTGGCAGTGACAGCGATTGGAGTAGCAGCCCAACAAAGTTCGTTTAGTGTTCGTTGTGATGTCTGCTGATAATTTGTATTGGTTCTCGTTCATAGAAAGTTTGATCATAAAGTTGGAAATTCCAATTGGGAAGCAAACTACCATCAATACAAACCCAATTGAATCTATTTCGTTGATAGAAAAGAATAAAAAAAAAAGACAGAAGAAGCGCGAGAGAGGTAGATGAACAAGAATAAGTGGGACTAGACTGAGCACATTGATTGTCGAGCATTGATCCGACCAATAAGAGCATTGGAGATAATTCGTGGGAAATTGTATCATGTGTTGGCCGTAAAGGACGGCCGGTATATCATTCCGATAATGGTAATAGCTGAAAAGTACAAAAGAAAAAGTGGAATCTACGTCTCATTTATCAACCAATTTAATATGGGTGCTACTGCTCCTTCGTTCAATTCGAAAGATACTTCTGAAATGCGGCAATGACAAAGCGCACGCACACACTCACACACAAACAAATATATCGAAGCAAATGCAAGAGCCACATGCAATTTTTCCGATACTTATTGGTAAATGATGTATTGAGCAAATGGTTATGGCAGGGCCTCCGCGAGCGCCTTCGGCGCCTCGCAGCAAGATATGTCGCAGCGACTTTTACTTAGAAAGAAAAAGAGGATAATTTTTTTCAATAAAATAAAAATGCATCGAATTTGAGGTGTGATACATATTTTAAATAAGTTATTCAAAGTACAACAAAATCTGTTCAAGTTAACTTCATTTTTCGTGCTTTAGAATCTGCAAAACTTTCGATAATATCATTGTAATCAATTTTTTCTGCAACTTCATGTTCGATAGATGTAATTGCAAGACCATTAAGGCGCTCTTGTGCCATTGAATTGCGCAGATAATTTTTTATGAGTTTTAATTTCGATTCCATTTTAAAAATTAATGACTCATGAAAATCAGAGTGAATGGAAAAATATACTAAACCTCTTTTCAAGAAATAAATGAAACAGAGATGGTTTGTCGTGCACTTGTTCGATTCGACTGATATATTGATCGGATTTGAAAAGTGAGACTCGACGACGAATTGTGACTGTACATTATATCAAAACACCAAAAACCGATGACCAAATCATTTTCTGTTTCGCTTGAAACGTACTGCAGTATTTTTTTGTTTTAATCGTTACACGTTTTCGTAAACAATTCGTTGGTAAAAAGTATTAAGCCAGAGTTAAATTTTCAAATGACAAAGTCCCGAATAAACATTATCAATTTCAGCAGCTAAAATTATTGGAAAACAGTATCACAGCCGGCGACAGCAGGCGCGAGTGACGGAACATATACTTACTGCATAGTATTTTTCGGTTTTAGCGACGTACCGCGTTTTGTTTATTCTATCTCACAAATAATAAACAGAAGCCGTAAAACTGCTAACATTGGCAAGGAGCAATTATTCGTATAATATGTGGTACAAACGTTGATTAATATTTCGATCATTTTTGAGACTAAGAATTTATAGTTCTCTCGCTTTTATTTTGTTCTGCTTTGAATATTTACAAAAAGACTGTTCACATGTTTTTCTTAGTGTAATATAAGAATCACATCAGTGTTTGCGCCTTTTTCGGGCTATATCGGCGCTCTCGCAACAATTTTTTTCCATGAGAAATGCGCTCTTTTCTATTTTTTCTACGCCTTTTCTATGGAGAATATATGCGCTCGAGCGCCTTCGGCGTTCTCGCGGCTATGAAAAAAAATGCGCTCTCGCGCCTTTTCAGCGCCCTTCGGCGCTCGCGGAGGCCCTGGGTTATGGAAAATTTTTGCAAGCATCGTGCAGATAAATTGGTAACCGTATCTTTGCAATAATTGTCTACTTATTCACTTCATCCATCCTTCCACATTCGGGTGAGTCTTCAACCATTTTACAATTGAAACGCATATGTGCGAGCGCACACAAATTCTACACAAAAAGAAAACAAAAGAAAAGAAATAATCAAGAATTTTGTTCATTAATAAACGATGACTATTAATGCTCATCTGCATCTTCGCAGCCGTTCCACAAACCCCCTACAAATGAAGAATAACTTTTCTTGCCGATGAACTTTAAGTAATATCCAAGTTGAAATGATTTTTTGAAATTGTTCATAATCGTATTTTAACATTTCGTTCGCTGCCTAATTTAATAAACCGATCTGTATGGAATTGTGTATCGCTTTGTTTGGAAACTTAAAGGCCGTCACACACATTTGTTCGCCTCAAATAACGCGCCCAAATGCAAAAATCGCAAAGACTTACCAGTAAACTTTCCAATATGTTACACCATCACTTTCAAATGCTTATCGTGTTCAAAGGAGCATCCCCAAAAATTTTGGGGAACAAAATCTTACTATGTCGCACAATATTCATATATTAGAGAAGTTATGGGAGTGTGTATTATACGAGTATAGAGCCCATACCTACCTCGAAAATGAATACGGTATCATATAATTCCGTTTTTTTTCAGGGTTCAAGAGATGCCCATTCAAACGAGCATTTGAAAATCAGAGTATAACATTTTGGAAGGTTTACTGGTTGGGGTGAGGGAAAGGGAGAAATATCTTTCATGTGAGAAATGTAAAATTCTGCAAATAAGAAGCTATGAAATGTAATTGTTTGACTTTAAGTGTGCGATTATTGAGCTCACGCTGTTCAGTCATTGTAATGACGTTGATCACAAAATCCAAAAAGAGAAAAACATTGAATTTACATATTAAATCAAATCATGCACAACAATATTACGTCGTTTGCCAGAATTTAATTTTCGAAACAAAACAAAACAAAATGTACATATTATTTTATGTAATCTTTTTCACTTGGTGATGACATGGCAAAAGCGACGTCGTCTTCTTATGAGTGTACTTCATTTTTTTCTGCCATAGCAGAGGGAGAAGAAGAAGAAAAACGAAAAGGAAAACTTAAACCATACATGTGAAAAAAGAAACACGTCCATGCTCGTAGTGGCAAACGGTTGTTGTCAGCCGCGCTTGTCGCTTGCAAAAGGAGCGAGAATTAAAGGAAAAAGAGAATGAAAGGCAGAAACGGTGCTGTCAGTACCGTGAAAATAACTGCAATATTGTATACGCTTCGGATATCGAAGTGGGCGTTTCGAACTCATCCAACACACTTCACATACGTCTCGCACGTTTATGACTGGAAGCGAAAAAAAAAAAACACAAATTCGAAATACCATAACGTAAATACCCAAAAAGTGAGCAGAATGGAAAAATTGAAACGCACGTCTCTTATCACTATGGTGAATGCTAGGATGAATTAATGCAATGTTAGTACAATTTCATTCGCCAAAAGTCGAGTATTTTGATAACTTTTTGGTGTAACAACACACGCACCAAACGTATAGAATCATTTATATTTTATCGGATATTAACAATGAGTGCGTGTGCATGCCTGTGCGCGCGTGTGTGTTTATGCTGACTGGCGCCATTCGTTTTCACACTTCTGACGACAATTTGTGTTTAAATAATCCCGATTGGAGGATGAAATTGTTCACGGAAGACCACTCGATATGGAAGCAAATGGCATGTTATCTTGTTATGCAGCCTAGTGATAGAAATAGAGGGAGTGAGTGGGAGAGTGAGATAGCATAAAGTACGTGTTGACCGAAGTGGAAAGTGAAAATGCTGGAAATTCAGTTATGATTATTATTATTTGATAGCTGAAGTTGCTTTCTGCCGCAATGAAATTGAATAAAACGGCAACGTAAAATGAGTTTTGTGAAATACGAAGCGAGTCATAGTGTACAAGTGGGAAAAGCCATCCTGAACTGTCTGAACATACTGTCGTTATTTTATGAACCAAGTGGCGA